GACTCCAGGATCATGACCTGAGCCGAAGGCAGTCGCTTAACCAACTGAGCCACCCAGGCGCCCCTAAATACAGTTTTGATAGAAAATAATATAACCAAACCTTTATAGAGGTATTCCTCGGGGACCAATCAAATGCCATGTGAGGGCCACTTATTCTCAACTGCACACTTCAAAAAGTTGGGAATGGCTTTTTTAAGTTAGACAGAAAGAAGTGGGGAGACACTCTGGAACCCATGATATTACATATCAAGAATTATCTAATAATTCAAAGGAGACAATGGGAGATAATTTTCTTGTATACAATTTAGATGGTTTCGTAGAGGGATGCAAAAAACTGCTCTGATCCCATATTCAGTGACGGGCCTGTGGTTAACATTAGGATAAGGCAAAAATGTGGATAAAGGATAAGAGTTCCACCATGTGGTTTGCTCTTTAGATGAAAGCAGAGACATAAATTCTAATTTAATATTAAGTCTTTCCAGTGCAGCCTGAAACTATATTTGGCTTGAAATGTCTTCATTTTATTATTCTTTTCTGTCCTTTCTTATTCTACAGGATTTCAGTTTCACCTTCACAATTTTTCTGTTAGCCAGACTTGCCACATATCGTAGTCTCAAACATAACTTGTGTATGTGCGTACATATATATATAATACACACACACACATACACACACATATATATATATGTGTGATCTCAGAGTCTAAGATTTTAGGACTTAAAAGAAAGTTCCAAATAAATAAATATTTCTAACTCATGAAACTGTCATTAGGTTTCTAATGCTTATCGCTATTCCAGATGTTCTTGTTGTAATAATGAACAATAAAGAAACTTTTGAAATGAAGCATATTGCTTGATTTCTGTCAGCTTCCCCCCCCCCCCATTTTGGGATCACTTTCTAATCCTTGGTTTGAAATGAGTCTTCTTCATTAATGAGAATTAACTACCCAAAGGAAATACATCTATTTGGAGTTCTTCCTTCTCTAAAATGTTCTGGGGAATAACAACCCCAAATTGAAACCAGACTATAATTTTATCATCCAAAATCAGAATTAGAAACAGGAAACAAAGACCCCAATACATATAAATTAGATCCTCAAAAGACATGCATTGGTATTAAACGATTTCAAAACTTTACAAGATAATAGAAGTTTTGTCTTTTATTTTCAACATAAAAGAGCCACAGACCAATTTAAAACAGCAACCTTGTTCTAGATAGGCTATCAAATTCCTTTATTTGTAAGGCCGAAGTGAAGGAGGAGAGATTCATGACATGATTTCTACTTAGCAAAGACAAGATGAGCCAGAGGAATTATTGTTTCCTCAGCTACAACAAAATTCTTTTTTTTTTTTTTAAAGATTTTATTTATTTATTTGACAGAGAGAGACACAGCAAGAGAGGGAACACAAGCAGGGGGAGCAGCAGAGGGAGAGGGAGAAGCAGGCTCCCTGTTGAGCAAGGAGCCCGATGTGGGGCTCAATCCCAGGACCCCGGGATCATGACCCGAGCTGAAGGCAGATGTTTAACGACTGAGCCACCCAGGTGCCCCAGCGACAACAAAATTCTTAACACAATGAAACACATAGCTTTTCAGAGTAAACTAAGATGAAAGGAATAGAATGAAACTGTCTTATTTGCCATTTATTTGACTTTCATGACCAAATAGCACAAAAAACTCTACTTTCTTATTTTATAGTATATTTAAGCAGAACAAACTATGCTTAAGTGTTGTTTGTCAACAACAACAAAAGGCATCATGCTGTTTCAAAGAAAAAAGTTTCAAGCATTGTAATCACAGTCTGTAGAAAGTTCAAGGGTCTGAGAACAAGGCAGACATTAGTTTGAATCCAGGCTCTATTACTTAACTGGCTGTGTGACCCTAGGCTTTATCTTCACCTCATCCAGCCTCAATCACTTCAAATGTAGGGATAATCATAGCATCTATATCAATAGGTTGTTGTGAGGAGGAGATAATATAAATCACTTTGTAAACATACTTAAAAAGAATGACCGTTAATAATTGTAAATTTTTGTTGGTCAAATGAGTAAAGAGTTAATACATACAAAGGACTTGGAATAATGCCTGACACATAATGTTAGACACTGTCATTGTCATTATTAAATGGTAAAGGGGAGCTGACAGAATCTGAAGGAAAAGCAAAACTGATCCCATAACTTCCATTCCTCTAGGAAATGAGAAGAATCCCTATTTGCTATAGACTTCATGGACACTAAGAAGTCAACCTGATGAGATAAAAAGATAGTCATGGACAGTAGAGGTATCGTTAGTACCTTTGACTTTTCAGTTGACAGTGAATATGGAACAAAATAGAAGGAAAAAAAGAATATGGAACAAAATATTGAGAAGAACTTGATAAATAACTCATGAAGAGATTCCACACGTCTCCACCCCTGCCCTTAGAATAAGCAGCCATTTAAGGAAGAGGCTCAGTTAAGTTCTCTGATGTCTTCTGATTCCTGCTTTCACTTCTGTAGCCAACAAGCCTGGGAGCCTGGTAGGCAGAGCTAAAGGCCAGACCCCAGAGAGACACAGACTGCAGGCTGCATGCGGGAGGGACTGGGAGGAATGGGAAACTTTATCCTAAGGTCGAAAATAATATTGCACCCTTCACTCCAAAAAAAAAAAAAAAAGGAACTTCAATAAACTATAATCTCAGAGAGTCAGAGAGTTCTGGAAAATTTTACAAGTTGCTCTTTGAGCACCTTTGAAGAAATTCGTAGTCTTTGCATCATATTACATAAAGCACTCAAGAACATTTCTGATTGTTTACTTCAAAAGGTATAATGTCCTAAGTTCAACATACTTTTAATTAATATTTTTATTTCTGTTTTCTTTTTGTTTTCCTTAGAGGGCCTATTTATGAGATTTGAGCTTAAAGATCACTATTAGAGGTCACGGCTCTTTCTCTACAGGACTGACCAAAGATTTAAGCATAGTAGAATGAGATTTCAGTGGTCTGCTTAGAAACAAAAAAATTTTCCAAATCCCTTGAAAGACATGCACTCCATAATTGGAATTAACAGGCTTAAAAGCAATTGCTGATGAATAACTGGATGATGACTGGAAGTAATTATTTTAAAGCAGAGTACGTCACAAAATATACCCTTTCATGTAAGTGACTGAGAGGGTGGGTAAAGAGAACTCACTATTACTGACATAAACAGAGTTAGTCTTGGTAATGTTTAACTGCAGGAAACACCTGCACTGTTGAAATGAACAGGCATTTTAGCTATGGTACCTAGCACACAGTAGGTGCTCGACAGATATTTGTTGAGTGAATGGATTAATGTATAATTACAATCTACTTATTATTAACATATTATTACAGGTGTACTATGCAGTCTTATTTATTCCATATGTTACAATTTTATCGCATTGTCTATATCATAAATATTGGCCAATGAACTTGACTACAATAGAGATTTGTTAACAGACGCACATCACCATATTAATGCTAATGAATCTTCCTTTTGAGGCATAAAAGGACATAGGAAAAGACATCTATTGAAAAATGTTTGTTGGCGTTTAAGATTTAGATTCCACCAGGGTGGGATTCTTCCTTTAGAAAAAAAATCTGTCATGATGAGAAAATATTATCTTTTGAATGCTATCACTATTCCTTAGAGTTACTAATAGCGAACTGTGGCTATAAAATACGAAACAGCTAGAACCTGGATAAAGCACAAAATATCCATTGAACTCCTGGGTATTTCAAAATATATGAATATAGTTACTGAAGTAAGTTCTTACAACTATTTGTTAGCTAATTCTAACCTAGTAATGTTAATATATATATGATATAAATATGATTTCATGTATATATATATATATGTTATTTTCTCTCCTTCCTTATATTATACATACCCTTGCAATGTGATCTATGACTAAAAAATAGGATATGGAGACAAACAAGTAATGAAGCTGGGAGACCCAAGCATATAGACTCGATTCATATGAGTGCATGAATACTTTTATTTTACTTTTACTAAGGTCCGTAGCATTAGTATTTTGCACTTGTAGATGTGACCTGCATTAAATCCAAGTAAACATTACATCACGCTGTTTAGATTCTAACTTTCAGAAAGGGCCACATTCACTTTTCATTTGACTTAAGTGCAGTTTTAAAAGGGAAACATGTTATCAGTTTAAATTTCCACAATATCTACTTTCCGCTGCCACATTCACTCTTCAATTTATAATCTGTCTTACTCTATTGATATTTTCTGTTTACGCATCAGTCTCTCCAGCATCTTGGAATCCTGAGTGTCCTACAGAGAGTAGGTCCTTATTCCATGTTTACAGAAGTACAGTTGGCTCTCACACTGTCTTCCTCCAACTATATTGTGGCTATCTTCCATTGATTTTGGGGTGCTGTGGTAAGATCCACAGTGATTTTTTCTATCCATCTTTCACCTGATGGATCTTAGTCTCTTATAGAGGAAGCGTACTTTTCAAGGGTAACTGAATACCAAATAGTATCTTAAACAACAGTACAAAAGCCACATAGCTTATTCATTACTTATTATTACAGATAGGTAAAAATACTGGTATTGACATGAATACCAACATATCAATGTGTAAATATCTTCTTTTATCATAAACATAAAAATGTGAATAACTGACAGGAACAACTTCACTAAAGGCACTCTTAGAAGTTACGTAGTAAAGGGTGACTTCTGCTACAGGATTCAATTTTTTTTTTTTTTTTTAAGGAGCCCAGAAAAGTCACTTAGCAATGTGAGCTATTGAAAGATGGTTGTTAAAATAGTTCACTGTTTTCAGGGTAATTCTTTCATGATGTGTGTGTGTGTGTGTGTATTTCTTCAAAACAAATGGAAAATACAGTATCTTCCATTGTCCATACTATGTTATAATTTAACATAATCTTAATCTTTAGAAATTCATTCTTTGGGTTACCTATAAGACACCAAGTGATTACCTGGCAAATAGCATTAGCACAAAGGCTCAAGTCTCTTACCATCAAACCCATCTTCTTCTGACCCTAGTTCATCATCTGAGCAGATGTTGAGGACATTTACCAGCATCTCAGTCACTAAAAAGGAAAAGAATAAAAACAAAAAAGTTCAGATTTTCTATTATAACCTTAATTATTACTCTGGCATTATTAATAAGCAAGCTCAGCAATAACATCTCTTACCTGTATTGTATATAGAATCTCCTGCAAAGTAGTTTCTATAAAATCCAGATCATAAAAGATAACCGGCTTTGTGATTCTACACAGACTTTATAAAAGTATTAGCTCATGTCTATGAAATCCTATGGTAACATTTAACTAGCTACAGGTCAATAGACAATGGACAACCGAATAGGTGGCTGTGAATATACTATACATCTATGAAGGAGGAAATGGCTACTTTCGAATTTTTATTTGTTTGTACAATGATGGATGCTACTAGATGTAGACCACGTTGCGACCTTCTGTTCTTCAGGGACTCAGTGAATGCTAGATCTCTTTTTTAATTTTTTTAATCCCCCAGAGAGCCCAGCACAGTGATAGGCATGTGGTTTTGTGTTTAATAAAAATCGTTGATTGATGAACTAATATATTTGAAGTAGTTTTGAGGATACTAATTTAAAAAATGGATGAGTTGATATATGTATCATTAAATTTTATTTTCAGAAAGGCTTTAACAATAAAGCTTAGGTAAGTTTAATAAGAAATTCAGTTGGGTAAATTGATCACAATAAAATTGCATAGAAGTGCTGTCACAGAAATTAGTACTGTATCACTTTTACACTAAGGTGCATGTTATTTACATTTAACCGTTTCTAAAATTAGGTTGGGTTCTATCATGAAGGTGAAAAGAAACTTGCCCACGATTTCCTCAAGAGCTACTTTTTGAAATCAATGTTCTTGTAGAGTGGAAGGCATATGATAAAGAGTAAAACATCAGTGTAGCCAACATATTAATCCATAGCTTCAGTTTAATTATCAAACGTGAATTAGGTACTCAAATATATGAATAGGTTCTTTTATAACAGATGTTCAAAATCTGAACACTTAATGGAAACAGCCCGGCTGAAGGGTGTTCAAAGGCTGCCCAGCAGTTGTCAGGATTCACACTGCTCCTGTTTCCCGAGAAGCCAAAGGACGGTGACACGCATCGTGTTCTGATCAGGGTGGGAACATGGTGACATGGGTAGTGCTGGGAACGCTTGTCAGAGGCTATCAAAATTGACGTTTGACTTATTTTGGCAGCCAAAAGAAAGATTTCTTCACCGACTAATCATAACTTCCTGATTTAATCACTTTAGGGCATTTAAAGAAAAAAACCCCGCAAGTATTCTAGGAAAATAAATATTACACTAATATATTACACATATTTATTAATATAAATAAAAATTTTAGGAAAATGTGTAGTTTTTCTCTAAAACCCCCCTATGGGGATGCTGAAACATGTGCAAACTCTTACCTTCATTCTGATGCCTATTTACCTGCTCCAAGGCGCTATGTGATCAGGTGCATGAGGAATGACCTCGTCTGTCCCCACTAGGCCTCCTGAACTAACTGCTCAAGCTCAGTGGGTACAGGCCTTTCCTTGAAAATTTTTGTTGAGGTTTGGGTCAAAACATAAAACAAAACAAAGGGAGAAGGAAGGAAGGAAAGGCAAGCCAATTCTTTTGAAAAACTGGGACAAGTTAATAGTTATAACTTTTTTAATGTCAATTTGTCTCACCTTGTAACACATCAATGGTTGCTCTATTTGTCATGAACTATTTTTGTTGCTGTTGTATATACTGTCTCAAATTATTATAGCCACTGATCACTATCATACGATGATTATTATCAACATCAGAAATGCAAGAAAAGCATACCTATCTTAACCTGTTAATCTGACAGGGAGTTTGTAAAATAAAATAGTACTTTTGAATTAATACACAGGGGTAAGGAGAAAAAGTAGCCATCATAGCTTGAAGCCAGTTAAAACTAGAGATCTGTTATTTTTAAAAGAGTTGTATTGTTCCAATGAGATGATACAAATGCTCCTGGTATCTCTCATTGGTTTTGTTTCCTCTTATTTCAGTCATTGTATTTTGTTAACAGGGTACACAGTGACATACTTTCAAATCACTTCTTTCCTGTTGCAACGTGTGAATTTCATTGTTTAGAATAGTCCCCATCTCCTCCCCTTCCTTCTTATATGATGGCATTAAGAACATCTCAAGATTTCCCAACACACACCTTTTTCTCCAACGAATGGCAGGGACCAGGTGAAAACATCCATGAAATTTGGAAGCCAGTATGGGTGAGGAGAACAGTTGAATTGCCTGATATTCATGACATTGTTCTCATACTTCAATACTGCAGCTGAAAAACAACAGAAACAAGGACATTAGATTCAAGTGCACATACTTCTGCTTCTCCACATGGCTTTAGTTGATCCAGAGAATTCAACTATGTGACTTAAGTTCCAAAATATCAAGACAAGTAGCTTCATCAGTCCCAAGTGTTTATACTATTGGGAATTAAACTATACTCAGTGTAATATGTAACTGCACACCATATGAATGCTAATATGAAAAAGCATTGAAATTTGGCAAATATTTATATAAAATAGTTAATCAAATGTTTGTCAGGAATTGGTCAAGCTCCTTTCACAGCCAAGAACATTCTAGTCTTATTTAACATCTAATGACCATAATAAAAATGGTATAGCTAAATTAGTTTGACAATTTAATAATCTCCTCGAATATTTGAACAGAATTTACTTCTATGTTTTCAAAAAAAAAAAAAAAGCGCACATTTCCCACTAGAACTCACAATAGTTGTGTAAATTAGACTGCATTCTTGACTTAATAAAATAAAGCGTTTGGATTGAATCCTGCATAAATATTATACTGGTATCTGACTTTACCCTTGACTTCTGAAACGGATGCACCACCCATGACTTAGGAAAATCAATCTGCCCCTTTCACTCTGCTTTGCATGGTGTCTGAAGGTTAGATACACACATATAAAGTTATGGTTACAGAGATCCTAAGAGCACCACCAGTATCACTTCTAACCAGATTCAGAAATTCATTCTATAATAATCCTGATACAAGTTTAGTAGGTCTCTGTGAGTTCTTTCTTTCCTTCTTTTTCTTCCTTCCTTCCTTCCTTCCTTCCTTCCTTCCTTCCTTCCTTCCTTCCTTCCCTCTTTCCTTCCCCCCCTCCCTCCTTCCTTTCTCTCTCTCTCTCTCTCTCCCTTTCTCTCTTTCTTATTTCATTTTAAGTATTCTCTGCACCTAACATGGGGCTTGAACTTACAACCCCAAGATCAGGAGTTGCATGCTCTGCTGACTGAGCCAGCCAGGCGCCTCTCTGTGACTACTTTCAATTTAGGAAAAGCTACCTGTTTTAACGGCATCGTCTCTTCTATGGATAGACAGTTTTAAAATTGTGGGAAATTCTCAAGTTGAGCTTAAAACTTCTTTACCACTTACTGATCCAAATCTGCCTTCTGGAAAAATACAGAACAAGTATACTTCTGATTCTAAATGACAATCTTTTAAATATGAAGAACAAAACTCTCACATCATATCTTCTTGAGCTTTGGAAAGATTTTACTTTTATTACCCTCTCATGGCATGATTAGAATCACATTAGTGGAAATTACTGAAGAGATCCTGGGTGATATCAAATGGGTTTTTTTCTTGTTTTGTTTAGGGGTTTAAAACACAGAAAAATCAATCCTTTCATTACTTTTTTACATTGTAGCATTTGATTATAGATAATAGAGCAAAGATAGCCCTTCAAAATCTATTTTTTGAAAAGCTACCAAAAGTTTACTGCATTTGAGCCTTTACATTAACTTCTTACTTAACAATATCTTTAACATAGCATTGCTTTCATAACTGCATTCGCTCCTTCATAACCCGAAATATACATATACATACACATGTGTGTATACATATACATATATATGTGTATGTATATATATATATATATATATATATATATATATATATATATACATATTTAAGCAGGTTCGTAGGCTCCACACCCAATGCGGAGCCCACTGCTGGGCCTGAATTCATGACCCTGAGTTCAAGACCTGAGCTGAGATCAAGACTTGGACGCTTAACTGACTGAGCCACCCAGGCCCCCCACATACCACCGTTTAAATATAGATGCTCAGAAGCTAAGGATTCATCTTGGTATTTCTCTTAATTTTTTTTTTTTTTTTCAGGAAAATTCTCCCTATTCCCTTTGGCTCTTCTTCAAGATGAGATGGCTTTTAGTGCCTTTTCCTCATCCTGCTCATCCTTATTCTGGAAACATGCCACATTGGCAATGCCCCTATAAAAGTGTGGCCCAGAACGAATAGAATCTTTTTGGTGGGTTTAATCATTGCAGAATATGAGGAGGATATATTGTTTCTTCTGTAATTTGGATACTATATATGTCATATTGCAGCCTAATAATATGTTGATGTTTTCAGCAGCTTGCAGTTAACTAAAATCCTACTTGAGAACAGTATGGTCTCTGCTTTGAATCATATTTCTGGCTCACCAGCATGGTTCCAGGGAACAGAATCACGACACTCTGGGAACAAGAAACGCAGGTAGTGCAGTCAACATTTATATGAAGGGAATTATTCTCTTCTTCCCACAGAATGCTAAATCCTGTGTATATTTTTATACACCCATTCTTCTTTAAGTTACCCTACCATTTATGCCATATGACACTTGGCCTAAGGATACATTCGTATAGTATTAAAGGCATGCAAAATGAAAGAATCATGGCAAATTACCATACCCATACTTCTGATCTGCCAGATGGAAAAGGTGAAGTATTTCCCGCCTTTGCTAAGTACTACCTGAATACCGGCTCCACTGAAAAGGTCTTTACTATTTTTGGATACGGCATATTCCTAGCAGAAGTGTATCCTCATAAATTCCAAAGGATCTTTAAGGTTCTAAGTTGTCTTTTTTTTTTTTTTAGATTTTGTTTATTTATTTGACACAGAGAGAGAGCAAGCACAAGCATGGGAGCCTCCGGCAGAGGGAGAGAGAGAAGCAAGCTCCCCACCAAGCAGGGAGCCCAATGTGGGGCTCAATCCCAGGACCCTGGGATCATGACCTGAGCCGAAGGCAGATGCTTAACCGACTGAGCCATCCAAGCTCCCCTAAATTGTCTTTCTGAAGAATAATTTCTCCTCTAAGTTTCCCCCTCTTTTTATTGGCATTAGGTTGATACATCCGGAGGAAGGAAAATAGATGTTATAACAGTGCCCTGGAGGAAAAGGAGAGGCTCTATAGAATATGTCATTTAATCCTTATTACAAATCTGAGAGGTGGGTGTGACTGCCTTTATGTTATAATCTAAGGAACTGCGGTTGAGAAATGAAGTGGCTTGCTCAAGATCATGCAACCAGTAACTGGATGATCTGACTCATATTTAAACTCCGCTTTTACTGACATCAAATCCATCCCCTTTCCACCATTCCCTTCTGTCTCTTATAAATTATAAATGGATGAATTCTAGTCCTAGCGGTTATAGTAATTTAACCTTGAACATCGTATTCATAATTAAAGATGTTTTAGCTTTTGCCAAAATACATATTTGAGAAAATGAAATACAGTGAGAATTTACAACTGAGGGTGCGGCTTGCTCAATAGATAAAACAGAAGTTCTGTTTTGTAGCTGGTGAGATAAAGCATTTATTCATTCAACATTGACTCAACACAATTTATTTGAGTGCCTAATAAAGTAGAAACATTTTTTCAGATTTCATTTTTGTTTATTAACACCAGAAATAATACATTTTAACAGTGGCTACATTTACTAAGCATCTGCTTTATGCTAGGCACTGTATTTGGTCCTTCACAAAACATAATCACAAATCTTCACAATATTCCTCAAAAGTAGTTCTTAACTATTTGCATTTTGAAAATAAACAAACAGAGAGGTTATTTGCCCAAGGTCACACTTGAGAAGTAGTTAAATTCAGTTTTGGCCTGAATCTAAAGTCCCTGATCTTTCTAGAATTCCATGATATTCTCACCCTAACTGCATAAATCATTCAATGTCTGCCAAGTTTTAGACACAGATTCTCCTTCCACATTTATTCTTTGTAAAAAAAGAGCACTGGATTGGAGGGCCAGGAGCTCCGACTGCTAGATGGGTTCTCTCATTTAATACTCACAAGACCCGAGGCCACTTAATGTTTTGAGGTCTCAATTACCTCCCCTAACTTTATCTAGAAAATTTATATGACCACTTCCAAATCTGAATGATAACAAACTTCTGGAACAAAGACCTCATCATTAATGCAATTATTGACTAATATTCTCAGTAATTCTAGAGGCTATTTATAGAACATTTTTCTACTTTTCTACAGTTTAAAAAGAGAATAACTCTAACTTAAAAATGCAAATATACCGATATGTATTCTTTTTTCTTCAGCAACATAAAGTATTCATGCACAAATACTTCCCAAATAACCTCACCTTAATAGGTTACTCATGAATTTTTATGTTTTTGTATTTTATATATATATATATATATATATATATATATATATATATATATATATATCTCACAAAAATACATGGAAAAAAAAACCCTTTAAACCAAAACAGTCCCAAATATCTGTATCATGAAATTCCCAGTTAACATTTCATCTTCCACCTCCCACATCTGTCCTGCCACCTGCCTCTAACTGTCACTGGGATTACAAAACTCAACTAGAGCCCTAACAGTGTGCTGTTCTCTGAAGTACTTGAAAGACATTTATCTCCAGTGCAGTATAAATAATACAAATGGTTGTACTTCGAGAATCACTCGAGACCAACTCCTGAGGCCTTGTCTGAGAAACAGAGAAAAGAACAAAGTCTACCATCAAGAAATCCCACTATTCTACAGGCAATTATACATGACCTCTTGTCATTGAACAATTACATCAGAGGCCTGGAGAGAGATGATGACATATATATGGACCCTGTGTTATTAACCAAATTTAGAGCAGACTAGACTGCATAGAAAAAAGTGCTCTTCTGTTGCACATGCACTTGTGAAGAATAGCTGGAAAAAAAATTTGATGTAATGGAAAGAATACTAATCCCCACGAATCTGAAGGTCTGACTGCCAGTTCTTTCTCTGATGTCAAAATTATGGTCTTAAAGTTATGTAATTACTTGGTCTAATCATTTTTACTGCACCTGTAGACCCCTATATAAACATGGAAGCCATGCCATGCACAAGATACAAAATCAGTAATCAAGGGATAGCACTGGACCTCCATTATTTCTAATGACACAACTAGGTGCCCTGAATAGAGTGAAACCCAAAGAATAGAATCCATTCCTCTGTTTACCACACCA